CACACTATTGCCATAGTATGTGGTTAGCCATTCAGCACTGAATGAAAAACTCCTGTGACCTGGCATCAGTATGAACAGAATAGGCATTTTTGTTCTCTCACTGAACACCACTGTAGGCGTATGGGTGGACTTTGTATTTAAAAGGGTGAATTGTGTTATTCTTTGTGCTGGATTAACAAAAGAGAGCTTCTTTACTATAAAATGTAATAGATAATACCTTCTGGTGAACATGAGTGAAATTTCACAACTACTAACAAGAACACTAAAATTACAGGCAAACAAGCCCATTGTACTTCTGACACTAGAGAGTACACAAAAACGCAAGTTACAGTTTAGTCAATCACCTGATTTTAATTCTGTCCAACAAATAAATTTACTTAACTATAACTTTCCTGCTTTAAACAGTGTTGTGTAGATACACATCACAATCTGACTTCAAGGGTAATACTCACCTTTGTAAACAGTAATTTCTTCACTAACTCGCTAGACTGTCCTGCCAGTTTATACACTGTGATAAGAACAGGGACGATAAAAATTCCTTATTTTGCAGTGTATGAACTGCCTGATGTAAATGTACACATATATGAAATATGTTTTAGTCTTGCCAAAAGAAGTCTAACATAGCCATAAAAGGTGAATTTTCTCTAGGCTTAAATACTCAAGATGTTAGCTTCCTGCATGAATTAAGTATTGTCCTCTGAAAACTGGCATTTGCAGGTTACTGAAAGCTAAAGAAAATTTCAGAATCATCTCAGTCAGCAGAGTGATCCTCTCTAGTTACAATTTGGGAATAGAGATTTCATTTTTCAAAGCCTATGACAGTTTATAGAGGAACCTATCACAAGCAGAACGTGACTACAGAATTTTGTAAGTGTAACTGTTTCATTAAAAAGAAAAATATAAGGAATAAACTGAGTCTAAAAAAAGAATCTCCAAAGAAAGTTGAAAGCTTGCTCAAAACAACCAAAATAAAATAAAAAGCAGTACATAAAAAAATACCATTCTGGCATCAACAAATCAGCAATCCTCATAGACTGCATGAAATACTTTTTTTGAACAGCTCTTGTCCTTACTTCAAAGCACAGAAAAAGCCAATACCCCAAGAAACCCACCAGCAGACATCATGGAAATACTGAATTAGCAATTCCTTACCTTGACATCTTTTAGGGATACAAACTTCTCAACGCCTAGCTCAATCATATCTAAGACATGATAGTCAAACATGCGACCTGTGAAAGTAAAAAACAAGAAAATCCAGCTATTTAAATATTCATTGAAAATCAGACCTTTTCCCCAGATAAAAACCCAAATGAAGTAAGTTACCTATTACCAGGTTGTTCGGTCGCTTCTTGTTATGAGAGCCGAACAGAAACAAAGAACAATCTGATTTCTTGGAAAAAAATTCCTACAGTTGAGGAAAAGAACAAAACTCATGAGTTCCACTTTGAAGCATTTAAAATACTTTGTGAAGTTACATGTCACACACACGTGAGTTTAGGAGCTGCTTAATGAGAAGAGCAACTGCACTCACTAGAAGAGTTCTGAGCAAGGCCAAGTCCACATAAGCTAAAATTCACAGCTAGGTTCAAGGTTCAAATAAATCATTTGTATTTCCCATTGCAGTCTTAAAGATTAAGCCAGGTAACTTTTTCTCTCCATTCTACCTGTAATGCCCTTTTTCATAATTCCTCATTATTTGTTTTTAGGTAAAATACCTTCAACCACTTCTCCTTGCCTGAAGGGTAAGTATTTGCAAGTTGCCTACAGTTGTAATGCCTCATTTTAGTCCCCCAGATAAGATTTATGCAGCATATTTGCTTTGCCTAACAGCTTCTGAACATCCAGTTAATTCCCTCAACAGCAAACCTAGGAACATCTGCAAATATCTAAAGTTCTCACACTTGGGAACGAGAGTACTACTACAGAGCAACTTTGTGTCTATTGATTACTTAAGACTAAGACACTACTTAAATGGAAGCCAATAGTGACTATCACCACTGATACCTTTTCTCCAGGTTGAGTAGACGAATAACTTATTATAGTATTCTGACTAGAACTAACTTAACAGCAATTCTTTCTGAGGATGTCTAACTCCCAAACCCTTTTATGCACTGCTGCTTCTCAAGGCAGGCCCTCATTCTGTGCATCAACCATGATTCCTAGATATACACACATGCTATTTATCCTGTACTTCCTAGAAGCACCAGAGCTTCTATACTTGCACTTCACAGCTGTGAAGCAGAAAATGCCACTGCACCACCTCCTACCTCTGCAACAACAGCAGCTCAGAGAGGACAGTGCAACTCCGTCCCTCAGGAGGTCAGGAGAGATCCCCAGGGGCAAACGCACGCTGGAATAGCTGCACGTACAAATCGTGCAGCTCAGCACTGATCTCTGCCATCAGGTCCCTGAACTATACTGACCGTAGACAAATCAAGAACAGACCAGAGGGGACTCCCCTTGAAAAATCTGCTCATAGAACTCTGGTAATCACTGTGTGCTGATATATGTGAACTCTTTAACAGAAGTATGATATTTTATTAAAAACTCAGCTGAGGATCAGCTAGTTCCTATGTGTCTGTGAGACCAAGTCAGTCAGCTATGGGACTGTAAGAGGTTTAGTTTCAGCAAATGTTGTTACAAATCTTTCCCTGATATGTACTCTTAAGTTTTCCATTCCATTCATGATATTTTAGGGATGGTTGCCTTACTGTGCTTCGTGCCAGAAACAGAAGCACATACTACACCTCAGCATCATTTTTAATGCAGATGAAGCAACATTTTATGTTGGTGTAGCTAGGCCACAACCACAGTGTTTTTTTAACACATTAAAACTGCCTCAACTCAACTACCTAATACAATTTCAGCTGCTACTCTAGCACTCACTATTAAAAAATGATCCTTAAAGATCCATAGCTATCTCTCCTCTTCCTTTTGATTTACAGGGGATTTCTTAGATGTTTCCCCTTTAGTTGCACAATCCCTTTCAGACAAAGTGCATTTGTGCCTTGTACGTAGACATAAATATTTTTCTTCTTCATACACAGATTTACTTAGTACAATACCCCAAAACTGCCAACTTCATCATGCATCTTCAGTAAGGTATTTAAGTGACTGCCTCAGGCAATAAAAAGCTGACCCTTACTTCCCTATGCAAGTTAGCAGTGACACAGAACAAACTTTAAAAATCATGATCACTAGGAACCAAACAACTAACTTTGGGATAATTAATTTTGTCTTTATTGCAAATCTACATCACTATCTTCTTTCTCTCATTTTGAAGGAAATACATGTATTACTTTTACGGCAGGTACATTTCAGCAGTTAAAGTAATGCTTCAATTGAAGCGCAAATGCATAAGAGATAATCTTAGGATTGGCCCTTTATTTTTTGCCTTCCTGCTCATACATTATCTTGAACTCAAAGCACTGAGTCAACACCAAATCCAGATGCGGCATATAACCAGGATAGATTTGTACTAGATACAAGGAAGAAGTTATTTACTGTGAGGGTGGTGAAGCACCGGAACTGGAGGTCCAAAGAAGCTGTGGCTGTCCCATCCCTGGCAGTGTTCAAGGCCAGGCTGGATGGGGCTTTGAGCAACCCGTTTTAGTGGAAGGTGTCCTTGCCTATGGCAGGGGCATTGGAACTAGATGAGCTCCTAAATTTGCCTGTCAGTTTACAGAAACATGCATTTACAGCAAAGACAAAGTCCTCACAACATGATTCTGTTGGAGGAAAAATATTCCTACTGACACCATAAATCTAGACATAGTTCAAACTTCCACTTATCCAAACTCCCTATAAACCTTGTTTTTCATCTAGCTTTTCACAGAGCATTAAAAACAAATATCCTCCAATAAAGTTCTTCTTGACTATAAAATATCATAAGAGAAGTGGTTTCTACTCACCAATGATGTTTGATCCTCAAAAGGCCTGGTAATATTTTTCCTAATTAAAAAAAAAAAAAAAAAAACAAAAAAAGAGAAAGATTTAAACCAACCAACCAAACCCAGGCCCAGACAAGCACTTGTAATTAGCTCTCTGATAACACTAAAATTCTGCATTCTGCTAGGAACTCCAACAGTAGAGGTTCAGGTCTAGTTCAAACCGTAAGACTTTATTTACTGCCCGGAGCACCTCAGTGCCACCATTGCCATTTTAAGCACTTTCCTCCATATTTCCTGTCTCCTGGGGCCTGCTTCCAGACCACCACCAATGACACTTCATAAACTGCCTCTTCCTGTTCATCTAACATTGAATTCAGTTATTACAATTAATGTTTCTGTCCTACAACTAGATACTGGATTCCCATTTTGAGCAAGACTTAACTATCATTATAATCTATAACTCAAATTTATAGGAATTTGGACTCCGGCCTACCCACCTGACAGAACCTCTCCAGCTGTTTGCACAGACCAGTTGGAGAAGCCACTGTTCCAAGTTTACCAAACCCTGCTCCGTAACAGTAGGCAAAAGCAGTGGGCTAAGCACCAACACTGATCACGTATAACTTGTTTCCAGTCTACTGAAATTTATGATGAATCCCAGTCACCCTCTGCATCCTTTGCCATTGTTCAAGCCCCCATGCTGGCCAGCATCGCTATTCATGCTTTGAAATTATCAAAAGCTGTCTTGTTAACAGACTTGAAGATATCAAAGTGAGACCACTTACTTTCTATACAGTACAGCAAAGGGTTTCTTCACAGCATACTGCAAAAGACAAATGTAGACACGTTATCTCCAAAACATTCAAGTACACAGTACTGCTTTTTCTAAAACCCTGGAATTTACATGATCACAAAAAAACAGTGATTGCTTGTGCAAATGGGTCTAGAAGGCACCTCAAAAGCCTGTTCACAATAATGCCTTTCAAGTTGATAGAAATCTTGATCCCCAGTTAATTACAGGACTTATTTGTAGAAGCAATGAAATAACAAAATAGCTGAGAAAGACCTAAAATCAAAGCCATGTAATAGAATCTTTTTGCTTCTATGTAGGGACATGAGGAAAACCCGGGATTGAACAGCAACCTGATTAACAACAGCATAAGATGGTAAGAAAATGACAAAGCAAGGAGAGAAAACAGTGTAGGAACCTCTATAATATTTTCAGGTATGGAGTTAGAAGACTGGTTAGGATTGGTAAGTTTGAGTTTCAGAAGAGGTTGAAAGCTCTTCATCAATACACATAAGCAGTTTACAGAATTCTGGCATATAACCTCAGCTGAGTGATCCAGTCCCAGTTCTGTACCTAATCCTTTTATTTTCAAACAGACTTGCAATACTTCACCTTCTATGATGGACAATCATGGAAAAAATAACAATGAAGAGATTAAAGTCAAAACTTCTGTCAAAGAAATTGGAAGAAAATAATCTCCATTGCAGGGTAGGGAATGACACCTCTGGAGTGCTGGTCAATCTGATTTGGGAAATGGGGAGGGCATAAAATTATTGATTTTGAATCTGAGAAGATGCAAATTCTAAGAAAAAAAGAAAGGCTGCATTCTATATCCAGCCACTTACAATGTCTTTAAGCACTTCAGTCACCCTTAAGTTTGCATTTCCTCCTTTTATGAGCATAGCCATTTTTGTATTTTCTTTCAGCTTGGGTTCTCTCTTCTCAAGAAACCTTTTTGCTCTCTTAGTTTTAGGTTTTCTGTAACAAATTAAGAATTAAAAACATAATATTAGTAACAACACCCAACATTGCAGAAAACAGTGAAACAGCAAGAACTGGAACAGGTGTATTCAAGTAACTTGTTTCAGTGACTCAAAGCTAACCCCAACCTGCAGAATTACAATCTGTGCTAAATACCCAGTCTCAGATTAATGTATTTTACTGTTACTCCTTTTTCTCTTTGTTTCCCTAAACTAGCAAAGGTGATTTTAAGGCCTTGGGCTTTTCAGTTTCTGCTGATTTAAACAACACCAGAGGTCCTACGGACTCCTACCCCTTACACCAGCGCCCTCTCCAAGTCAGAATCGCACGTGAGAAGAAAACACAGTTACTCAAAGAACACCAACAGCAACCACAAGAAAAGATCAAGTACAGCACATCTATTGACACGAACCAGACAGTAGTACGGGCATTACTTGAGATACACCTCCCTTAGCAGGGGCACAGTGCTCATATAAATTAATAACTAGGTGGCTTAAGAGCTGCATTTCTCCACTAGATGAATTTAAAGCTTTTAATATCTTCTCCATGAAGCATTATATTTGTTTTCTTTACAAAGAAGCAATCAACCTCACACAGGTACTTCCACCTGCAGATGAAGACAGCTCCTTCACGCGTAGAGAAATACATAAATCCAACACCAGCAGCTCACCGCGGTTCCTTTACGGAGCAAGGGCTGTCTGACACCGTAAAAGAGAAGGCAGCGCTCGTTTTTCCTCCCTCCCGTTTACCCGTTCCCCGCCGCCGCCATACTCACACCACCCGGTCCAGTGGGTCCATGGCTACCAAACTGCTCCACGCGCGCGCCCCGCTGTCGTCACTCACTATCGTCCGGTACGTCACATCCGCTTCGGGGAGGGTGGGAGGAAGCGCTAGGTGCTGGGGCAGTGCGCATGGGCAGAGGGAGCCTCGCAGTCAGGTGGCGGATCACCGCTGAGGGGTGCGTGTCTGCTGGTTCCCAGGCAAATAACGGTGCAGCGCCGCAGCTGAACATCACCGCAGAGGCGGCTGGTCGACTTGTGTCTGACGTGTGTGCGTATCCTCCTCTCCTCCCGGTGTGCTGGGAATCACATCAGAGTTGTGCCGCTAAGATGTGGCCATTTGACCCCAAACTCGCTTATTTGGGAAGGCTATTACAAGTGAGGAACACGACCTCACACATAATACAAACCAAATGCCAAAGATTTATTTCTAACATCCCTAATGTGGTAGCATCCCTTTAAAAATAGTATCTACTCTTAAATCTGTTAAGTTTCTGATTATTTCAAAGCCTGCAGGCCTTCTGTCAGAGTTGTGCAAATTTGTTCATGTTGCTGCTTTTGCTTCTCAAGTCCATGTTTGATCATAAATTGAAAACTGAAGGTACAAGAAAGCACTACAAACACTCCCCACAGCACCAGTTCATAACATTCCCAGCATCGTTATTCCAGCTAGCACTATCCTCTATGGTATGAAGATGATCAGAGGGCTGGAGCACCACTCCTATGAAGGCTAAGAGAGCTGGGCTTGTTCAGCCTGGAGAACGCTCTGGGGAGACCTTAGAGCAGCTTCCAGTGCCTAAAGGGGGGCCTACAAGAAAACTGGAGAGGGACTTCTTACAAGGGCCTGTAGTGACAGGACAAGGAGAAATGGCTTTAAACTGACAAAGGGTAGATTTATATTAGATACTAGGAAGAAATTCTTTACTGTGAGGGTGGTGAGACACTGGCCCAGGTTGCCCATAGAAGCTGTGGCTGCCCGAACCCTGGAAGTTTCAAGGCCAGGTTGGATAGGGCTTTGAACAATCTGGTCTAATGGAAGGTGTCCCTGCCCATGGCAGGGTGTTGGAACTAGACAATCTTTAAGGAAATTCCAACCCAAACCATTCTGTGAATACACCACATCGGTCTAGGGGACAAAAGGATGATGGAGAAAATCCAAACTAAGCAATTTGATCAGTATTCAAACCCCAAAAAAGTAATAAAAGCCACACTTGATTTTATATTTTTTTTCAGTAACTGCAGTACAAGAGCAGATACAGTATGAGGCTGAATAGAACACACAAGGTGAATCTATATTTGAGAAATTCAGGTCTTTATTTAGACAAAGATTTTTCTTTTCCTTTTTACAAAATGTGTTCAATACATCAACATTTTTCTAAGGTAGGGGCTTTTTTAACTATGTAACCATTTCCTCCTCAATTCTGAGGTAGAGATACAGACATTTGCAATCATCATTTAAAAAATCAAACAAACACTTAAGCCCTTTCCACTGTGAGCCAAACATAAGAGTAATGCACAAGAGCACAATGTCAATTTTTCCACTATTAATTGCTCAGATAAATTTGAAATCATGTCATGGCCTATAAAAGTTGGCCCATTAACTCCATGAACAAGTCCTGAAAAGATCAGAGCTGGTATCATGGAGGGGCATCGTCTAAGGCAACGCTTCCAGAAGGGGAATCCTCTGCCCCAGAAGCCGGGCTGTCAGGCAGAGGACTTGAGACATCCATTTCCAAGCTGTGCTGCTTCTCCAGATCACAATTCATGTCAGAATTTCCCTCACCACTCACCTCTCCCTCTAACTCTTCTGTCAATTTGTCATGGGCCTGAGTGGACTCCTCAGAATCTTTTTCACGCAGGAAGCTGCATATCGTATTAGGCCTGCTGTAGGAAAAATCCCTGTCCTTGATCTGTAACCACTCCACTCCGCCTGAGGCAAAGAAGGAAAACTGATATTGGTGACAATAGTAGTTAAGAGTTAGCAGCAGTTTTTTAATTAGTTTAAGTTCACTAAGGATGAGCCTGATCAATATTTAAGAATCAAAAAAACCCAAACCAAATGAAAAGCAAAAGGGTAGTGCTACTAAATACTACTATATGTAGCAGGGTACTCAATATCAGAAGAATTAAAAGCACTAATGTCTGTATGAAAAAAACACCACTGAAATAAAGCAATCATATGAGCACTGAGTTCTGCCTATGTAATGAAAATCAGCATGAATGCTCTGCTAGGTGTGTCTTTGCAAGTAATTTAATTTATTCGTTTACACTTAACTGTAAACTCAGTAAGAACAATTCAGTTGTAGTGCATACAACACGAAACTTCTTACTAAGGACATCTGAGACTTTCAACAATTAGAGACTCTAAAAGTCACTAGAGGGAAAAAGAAAAAAAAGAGAAGAGCAGCACTTTTTATTGCAGAACTAGTGCCAAAACTTTCTACATGACACAGAAAAACACACCAGGAAACACCAGCATATGTTTGCCCTGCTCATACACAGTTCTGTAGGAATCTCCTACTAGCCACTTCTGGAGGCAGTATGATCAGAAGAAATCTCTTTCTGTGTGTTTTGTATGTTTGTATTTAAATATACACATTTGGTGCCTAAAGAAGAAAGTTCCTCTAAGTTCCTTTTTGCTCTTAAATCACTTAGTGCTGACACTCTAAGTATAATCCATCCACATCCCTGTGCATAAAACCAGAGGTACTAACCAACATTCTCCTCTCCTTCCTTCTTTTCTGTCAAAAGCGTCCGTGTCATGTTCAACTTCTTCACTGTGTGGCACTTGTATTTCAGCTGTACTTTTTGGTTGCCTTCTGCATCTACTATGAAGAAATGAAAAAAAAACAATACCCAAACCCCAATCATTGTAGTGAATTCCAGATCAACTGAAGCAAGACTTCTAACCTTCCTGGCTACCACAATAAACAGGACATCAAATCACAATTACCATGCTCTGTATTCTCTTCAAAAACCACACAGGTTCCCAGCGTATCTATGAAAAACAAAGTGAGAAACTCTTAGAGACTATTTTATATCCCCTGTAGATACTGTAACCGCCGGCACAGCTGTGGGAACATTCCAACTTCTAGCTCCTCACAAGGGCTCAGCACCGGTAACCACACTGCCAACTCAGGGACTGGAGTATCACACTCATTCAAAGTCATGACAAACGAGGATTCCACATCATTTTCTTACAGACCAGCGTTGTCACCCTGAGGCAAACTGAGAACTACCGGTTGCACAACATGTCAGTCCTGCTTATACAGGAGACAACGAACCCTTCAATGTCCCACATTTTTCCTGCTGAAATACCAGCTGGTGCAGCCGGAGTCAGCTTCCAAGGCACACTTTCCAATAAGTAACATGGGTGCATGACTAATTTAGCAGTGCTGCACCTCCATATGGTGTTATACAAACATCACCCAGAAATTCAGCAGCTCACAGGACCATGTTTTGCCATTAGCAGTGCAATTAACCTATGTTAAAGTTATTTGGGTCATATGAAAAAGGAGAGATTTTATCCACATTACTTTTCCTACCTTCATATTCTCCTGCAAATACATATCTATCCACTTGTAAAATGGGTTTCTCTGTCTCTATTCCCTACAAAAAGAGGGACAAAATTACACATGTCAGGTCTCTTACTCCAGAAAGTTTTCTTGCTATAAAGCCAGAGAAGACATATAGCAGAACCCAGATTACATCAATTCCTTGAAAAGATAAATATATTAAAAAACCAAACCAAACAAAAAAACCACCAGCAAAATAAGTACTCCATAACATGGTAAATGTGAAATAACAAGTTTCCTTTGCTATTAAGGGAAAAGGAATGGATTTTGGACTGCAAAGCTGTCTGAAATTGGCAGCTTTACCTGTACAAAAAGTACATCTTTAAAACAGGATTTCTGAAAGTGGATAAGAGTGGATATGATTTCACAGAAGCTAGCAGGCTCCTGAAAAATGGCAATTACGTTAATATTTATTAGTTAAAAAAAATGTTAATAAAAGATTACAAATGACCCTGAGGTCTTCTGCAGTGTTAAACATAGGGGTGAGGGGAGAAGGGGTTTTCTTTGTGTTTTTATGGGGAGCTTAGTTAAGCAGTGACAACAACTGTGACAGAGGGTTTAGCCAATCTTACTGTAGAATCAGTATACTGTTAAAAAAACAATAAATGTAATGACAATTTTTCAGTCTATCACTGTATGTTAAGTATATGAAATACAAAGAATATACCAAATAATACTGTTCACAGTAAATCACAAAAAAAACAACAGTGCTGAACTAGTGTAGAAAATGCTCTAGTATGTTAAAAAGGATCAAAGAAATTCAAATTAAATTGAAATATTTAAGTTATAGTAAATACAACTAAAGTGCTGTTATGTCCTCTAGGAAACTAATTTCACCTCTATTTTAAATTAATAATTAAAATACACATATTTGTATGAAAAAAAAAGATGTTATTTTCTAAGCTCTGATCAGTGTAAGTTCTATAAAGCAGAATAACTTTCAAAAGTATTCGGAAAATACACAAAGTGAAGAAGTGTGGCATAAAGCATTACACCGGCACCAGAAGTGCAGTTGTAGGATCTCAGAAGCTTCTGTGATTACTGTGTGCCTATAGCATGAAGGAGTTTGAAATGTTATTTGATTTTTTTTTCTAAATAAGGAGTGGGAGAGTAAGTTCTGTCAGCTCAGAGCAGAAATTTTTCAAATACACAGGCCAGGGACCCATTATCCTTTATATAAAATATACCTATAGACTGTATTTTGATAAAAATCGATGTCTGAGCAGAACACATTAATTAAGGGAAAATGTCTTTTAATGGTACATTGTGGACATCAACATTATCTTCATGTCCTGAATAAGCACACACTAAAAGTTTTGAAGATGAGGCACTGTCTTGTAAATTGTGTAAAATCCAGAACATTACACAGATTAGTCGGAATTTGTGTGATTTTCCTCTCATACTCTTAAAAAACCAGAGTATATAAGATCAGCAAGATTTAAGCTCTGGGATTCTCTTTCTGCTGCATAAACTGAGAATACCAGTAGCATTAAGGTAGAATCGTACTTTTTGTTTTACTACAGGAAATTAATTTAAAAATGAATACATCAGAACCAGGCAACAGCATTAAGGTTTTTAATATTAAACACTTTATTTCTTTGGCTTATTTGCATTCATTTTTGGACTACACATAAATTGAGACTGTCTTCCCCTTATGTGACCACCATCACAGAAAATTTGCTAAACAGTAACACAAAGAATCTTCTATTGGAGTTTTAGTAACAGTTGTCCATTATCAAAAATCTCAAGGAATGGTTACTCTGTGGAGCAAGTAAAGGTAGATTTGGATACAAGCAGATTATAATATAGATACTGACAAGTTGCTCTAGTAACATTACAATAGAATCTCAAAGCACAAGATTTAAAAGAATCCCAATAACGCTATTGAAGACTATGTAGGCATTCAGCCACCAGCCATGAATCATCTGTGTAATACATTTCAAGTGACTTAAGTCAGGTCCAGGAAGCAAATCTGCTTATAAAAACATATCTGGTGATGGATAATTTATGAATTATTAATGTATTCCTACATTTGAGATTTTAAGAATTGGCTTTACCACCTCACATGTAATCTGATTAGTGGCATACTCAAGTGTGCTCTTCCATCTTCTCAATCTATAATAAAGCTCTAGTTTCAGAAAGTATTTGTAAATCAACAGTACTTGTACTATCTATAGAGCTCTCATAGACCATACAGGTTTTGAAGGGCAAATAAAATTTGTCCCCTACAGAGAAAATTATTAAACTCCTCAGAAGAAAAAGGATCAGTACACCAGAGTCTTAAAATAACCTCACAATGAAGCAAACAATGTCCAAAACTGTTTACCAAATGCATAACACCCAGTTATCCTTTACAACACTTGAACTTGCCAGGCAGTACCTACAGAAGAAACCCTATTATAAACACAGTACAATCCAGAAAGAATTTGGCTTTAGTTGTCAGCTGTATTCAAGTTATTTGAAGAAGAATGCTTAACAATTTTATTTTTTTAAATGTGAAAAATCTGTCAGTTAGAGCTCAAAGTCGGAGTGGATAATGGTCCTAGATTATAAATACTTCTAAAAATGTTCCCTTATATTTATGTAATACTCTATTCAAAAAACCATATGCTATTTCTGAACTAGAGCCCACAACATGCAGCCCAACAAGGCCAAGATAGTGCATGTAAGATTTGATCTAAATGTTATCAACCTCAAGAATCTAGAAATAGCCTCAGTCCCTTGTTCACACATGTACTGACTTACCCCTTTCCTATTGTGCTGTAATCACTCACCAAAATCTTGCATTTGTTTTCACATTTCTCTAGGAAGTCTGAATCAATAATTCCTGACAGTTCCACCAGGACCAGTTGCTCCTACAAGGTAAGTTTACAGTGTACATCACTGATATATCTGAATTCATGGAAAAAAGAAAAAAAGCATGTCCCGTCCCACCCCCCCGAACGACAAACAACCCAAAACAAAAAGAACAGCATACAAAGACCTAGACCTTCGGAATAAAGAGCCCCCATATCTGACTTATTCTACATTTTAGCTAAAGAAAATGGCAGATGGATAGCCAGGGTACTGCAGTGACCTACTACTCCACCAGACACCTGGTTCACACCTGAATTTCACGGCCTTTTCTTCTTAGCTAGGAAGGGAGCTCTTTTTTTGCCCTTTATAAGTGAGGAACAAAAAAGCGCCACTTTGAAAAACAGTTTATTCAAGGAAAAGAAAAAAGAGTTTTCAAGAATCACCGTCTACTAAGCACACATAAATACACAGAATAATAAGAGTAATTGTATTTTCGGATGCCATGGGGGTAGGAAGAAACTGAAACTGGAAGATTGCTTACTGATAGCGCCGTTTTCCAGAAAACCTGAAACAGCACCTAAAGCGATACTGCTTCAGAGACACCACCGCTGCGCGGGGCCAGCACACCCGACAGACCACGGAAAAGGCGCTAGCTCGGTGCCCGCCCGGGGACAGCCATACGACCCCCGGCTCTCCTACGCGTCCGGCCTGCCCTACCAGCCCTCCGCCAAGCGGCGGCACGACGGCGGGTACCGGAAGTCTGGGGAGACAGGGACACAGTGAGAGGAGAAAAGCCAGCCCTTCTTCTACCGAGGCCTCATAGCAGGTGCTTGGCCGCGGCAGCCCACATGAGGGCGGGCGCAGGTCCCTTCACGGGCCCTTGACAGAAATCCCGCTCCGGCCCGCTCAGTGCCAGCAGAAGGGAGAGGGGGCTGCGCCGTATCCACAGGAGGGACACGCCCCGAGGGGGTCGGTCCAGCTGAGCCGCGTCCCTTCCTCTAAAGCCACGCCAACGGAGGAGGACGCCCGGGGAACATGTCCAGCTGCCAGCACCCACCAACCTCCACTTCTTCCTCATCTTCATCGTACTCCTCCGTACCCACTGCTGGTGTTACCGCCGCCATGTCACTAGAAGAAGCCCCGCTTCCCCTCAGCGGGCACCACGTGGCCCCAGCGCCGCCATCTTAGAGTGCGACCGGGCTCCGCCTCCTGCCTGCGGCGGCTGGAAACGGCGCCAACGGCAACGGCGCCCGCGCGCTGCCGCGCGCGCCAGCAGCCCCCAGCAGGTGGCGGGAGTGAGGCGCGCGCCTCAGTGACCGTTAAACGGAGGGGCGCGAAGAGCGGTCCCCAGGCGGGGCGGGGGGGATGTTAGGGAGAAAGTGTGGCGCTGCCGGGGTGCGCGGCGGAGCGAAGGGCATGAAGGTGAAGCTCAGACAGGGAGAAGCCCGCGGCTGCAGTGCGCGCAGGGGGTAAGATACGGGGCTGTGGGAACGGGAAGAGGAACAGGCAGCAGCAGGCGGGGCAGAGGAGGAGTGGCAGCCGAGGGAGGAGGAGAGCTCCCGGGGGTGCGGCCGGGGCGAGGCGGCTGCGTCAGGAAGCGGCTTCCGGGGCCTGAGCAGCTCAGTTTCACATGGGCGCCTGTGGGAGCCATGCCGTACCTTTCTGTCTTCCTGCCACCGCCGAGTCGCCTGGACCCGAGCTTTCCACCGTCTGTGAGGTTTTCCACAGACTCGGCACTTTGCCAGAGTGGAATCATACCCCGTTGCTCAGTCCTCGTTTGTCAGGCTGAACGAGGCGCATCATCTCCTCTTCGTTTCCTTTTTCATCCTAGCAGTTTGCCTCTGCACCTGTGCCACTCTCCCTTGTTGTGTGTTTTCCTTATGCACTCACCATTGCAGATTGAATCATGCCAGGCCCTTGTTCAGAGGAAGAAAGGGAAATATTTTGCTTTGTGTGTCGTTGTGTGTGTCTGACAAGACAACCAGAAAGCATTAGGCTAAATAGAACAAATACACTCTTGATTTCCATCTCAGAAGTATTCCTGACATGATAAACGTTGCACTCCATAATCCTTGGTCTCGTGCTGTTTCTTGTAACGTAATTCTCTGTTGCTTTCCTCTGTATGCTATGTTTCTGACTTTGTACTGAAAGTGTTTTCCTATGCACTGTGCCCAAGTCATTAATGAAAATGCTGGATAAAAACCCAACGGGCTTCACTGTACATTTTCTTCCAGCCTCTACTTAACCTCTATGAGATAAACATAATGTCAGTGTAGCACTGTATCAAGTGTTTAACAACATCCAGATATGTGTGATTTAGCGCATTTCTCATTTTCCTAGAAAAATCTTAAAACATATCAAGTAAGTTTAGCAGTATTTTTCTCTGGGAAGCCAGCATTTTACGTTAAGCTTCATATTTTAAATTATTCTTTCTTAGAGCTTGTTTTAGAATATTGAATACTGCTGTGGTAAGAATGGCCTATAGATTTGGATTGGTTCTAAATACATAAAAAGATGCGGTGGCATGGCACCATTCTGCCAGGCAAATGGCAAAGGTTTGAATTTTGAATTGCTTGAATTTGCAGGGGATAATAGCTGTGGAGCAGGTGTTTGGTGTACTGCAAGTGTTTATTATCAGATATTTTAAAATAACAGTTTGTATCATTTGTTTACTGTGGGTTGCTGTGTTTCAGCGTTTTTAGAAAACAAAAATAAGGGTTTGATTTTCATGTTCTGCCACTAGAAGGAGATAGATAAATAAAATTATGCTTAGAGAGCTTGCTCAACATTTCTGAGAGAGGTTTTTAATGAGCTTCTAACTTCTAAAGCTGTATGTCAGTGTCAGTAACTTTAGCTAGTTGTTCTTATGCTGCATAATATGAGCACATGAGTAGTAATACATGTTGTCTTTTATTAGTTCTTAACTTCTGGTTTCTATTTATTAAATTGTTATATTTGGTACCAGGTCTTCCTGCCTTTAGATAAAATTTTTGTTGTTTTAAAAAAGTTCTGCCTGAATAAAGCAGAATAAACTTTCAATCACAAATATGTATTTAAAAATTGTCATAACTGACAATGCTTCTGTAAGTTACACTTAACACCATCATTCTTTTTTTATAGGTGGGAGGAGGTTAAATGCCTTGGCTAAAACTACAGAAGGCCCTTACAAGAACATAAATGTGGACCAGATAAGCCTGTGTAAATCACGGACAGTCATGAACTGCCAAAGAAGGAACCAGTACACTTGCTTGCCTTTATAACAGCCTAAGTATCATGTAATATCCAGGTTCATCTCAATCTCCTAGTTACCATGGGTCAGGCTGTGCAGCTGGATGATGAGAAATTTTTGGTGCATTAGTGCCAAATGTATTTTTAAAGGAGACTACCTCACTGCTGGGCCAAACTTGTCATGGGCATTAGTGGTTTGCTGGGGCCTTCCATATCCTGGCAAGAGTATTTCAGCAACTTACCTCTTAAAGAGACTGTCCTTGGAGTCTGCTGGGGAGATTGAACTGCTTGATGAGATAAATATGGAAATACGTATTTTGAAGATCCAGGTTTTGGATTTCTTGAGGCCTCAGCTAACAATCCTGTCAGTGCTTGAACAGGTTTGTGTGTGTGTGCTGCCAGAGGCGAGTACCCAGCTAGCACTAAGGGCAGTTTAAGTCAGTGATGACCAAACAGTAAATTTAAAATAAATGATCGTGTCCAAGATCTATGTACACAGTATGCACGCACTAGTTTCAGTGGGTTCACTTGCAGTTTAAGCATGTTAATGCATATTTTGGGCCCTGTAGTTTGCAAATTTTTGTTGTGGAAGTTTATAGATCAGATACTTGGGCTATTTTAGCAAATAGCCATTTTTTCATTTAAGGTACATTACTGGAAATCAGAGAAAGTTCACTGAAACACATAATGAACAAATTCTGGCTTCTTTGTCTCTTTTTTCCATTTTCTTTTTATTTTTATCTTCATGCTTGGAATTCCTTCTCAATTTCTTCTCCTTTTGCAGAAGTCAATCACCCTCTCTCCATGCCCTCCTGAACACTTCTCAGTGAGGCCCTGGCATTAGTCTGTCTAAGTAAAAGGTTAGATGTGTTGTAAAAACACAGAGTGGGAAAGAGTCTTTGCTTAAGTTCTTGGGTTTTATCTGTCTGTTTAGACTGTGCCTCTGGTTAAAAACCTTTTGAATTGTGTAATAAAACTTCCACAGAATTTGGTATTTAAAAAATGCTAAAAGATCCTATGTGTGCACATATACATGTGCACACACTATATACGTATAGTCTGTGTATCTGTACTATTTGCTGAATTGACTGCCTCGGGAGAAGGGTGTTGTAGGTGTCTGGGCTTATTTTAAATTGGAAATATAACTAAAATTGATGATGTGACAAAAGGTGATTGCCTAATCAGACTTCTCAATGTTACCATGTGAAGTGACTAAGTGTGATGATACAGTGTTTTAAGAAGCAGAGAAATGCAGAAGACGGCTTGTAAGAGACTGGTGTATGTTTCTGATTCTGGTCAGTGTTACAAAAGGTAAATCAGCCCCAGGACAAAGGTAATTTGCTGATGGTATTGCAGAGGCTGATTTCCATTTCCCTGCAGCTACATTGCTGAGCCTCTTCAGTTAGGAATTTGCAAGCCAAAGTAGCTACTAGATGTTACAAAAAAAAAAAAGACCTGCTGGATTTCTTTGCATGTCTGCCTTTATCTTTTCAAAAAGCTCCTTACAGCTTATGTAAGGAAATCCTAGCAACACTATTAGACAAAGCAGTCAGGGATGCTGAATTTCCACAGTGCTTATTATTTTTATTATGCCTAATCTAAGGCTGTGGAGTGAGATGCAGTAGGAGGGAGAGAAGGAAGAAGCTGAGTGGAGACCTTTCTCTGGGATGGAGGCTCTGGCACAGGTGATCCTCCAGCAGTTTGCTGGCCTTCTGCTTTATTTTTAGTGGCTGGAATCAAGATGCCAGCATAGAAGGAGATTAAAGAAGGGATCAGATATTTCCCAAGTTCTGTGCTCTGGAGTCTGAAGGCTTCATGCCAGTCTAGGTGTCACAGACCCACTTATTGTACAAGGTGGTTAGTCTGCCCAGGTGCTTGCTACCAGGCCTCTGCTTCCCCATCTCTTCCATTTAATTTCTGCAGACACTCAGAGTGAGGTCTGTCATGGTAGGAGCAAGAAAGTTGAGAAGCAACTCTCTATGACTACCTGAAAGGAGTTGGTAGTGAGGTGGGGTTCAGTCTCTTCTCCCAAGTAACTAGTGATAGGACAAGAGGTAATGGCCTCAAGCTGCACCAGGGGAGGTTTAGATTGGATATTAGGAAAAATTCTTCACCAAAAGGGTGGCCAGGCGTTGGAACAGGCTTCCTTCCCAGAGAAGTGGTGGAATCACCATCCCTGGAAGTGTTCAGAAAATGTGTTGATGAGGCCCTTAGTGACATGGCTCAGTGGGAGACTTGGCAGTCCTGAGGTAACAGTTGGACTTGATGATCTTAAAGGTCTTTTCCAACCTAGTTGAATGTATGATTCTGTGTGGGAGCATCTTGCCACACATTGTATCTCAGCTGTGAAAGGGGAATTCAGCTAGTGAATCAAGGGTAAAGAAGAGGCAGGAAAGCGTGGGTGCATCCCATTAGGGTGCATAGATTTATGTGTGTCCAGTTTGCTTAAGTATTCCCTGACCTGATCCTTTTCAACCAAAGGTGCCTCTTCCTTGCTTCAGACTACTCCTGGCCTCTAGGGCCTGGAATTCCTGGAGGTCAGTCTTACTGAGGCAAAGAAAGCACGAAGTACTTCAGCCTTTTCTGTGTCCTGTGTCACCAGAGCCACAGACCCATTCAGCCCTGGGCTCACATTTTCCTTAGCCTTTCTTTTGTCACTTACTTACAGAAGCACTTCTTGTCTCTGACATCCTGCACTGGTTTCAGTTCCCTGCATGCTCAGACAATGTCTCTGTAGTCGTCACAGGTGTATATCGTTGATTCCACCTTCTCTATGCTTCCTTTTTTGTGTTCGAGTTTGGCTAGGAGCTCCTTGTTCATCCACACAAGCCTCCTGGCATTTTTTGCTTGACTTCCTACTCATTTGGATCGACAGGTCCTGGGCTTGGAGGAGGTGACGCTTGAAACCTGAAACCAGGTTTTCTGGACTTCCTCTTCTGTCAAGGGCGTTATCCCTATGGGAATCCACAGGTTGTCCTTGAAGAGGCTTATTTTGTCTTTTCCTCAGGGAAGGGTATACCTGCTGGTATCCTGTGCTGAAGCATATAAGGGGAAGAGCAGTAAGAAAATGCTGAGGGAAGTTGGTGCTGTATCCACATCTGAGAGAAATGCGTCTTTGTGTGTATGAGCGATGGGGCAGAAGGAGAGTGGTGTGGTAGAGTTGAGCACTGCTGCAGTATTCTGCATGGAGTCCTAAAACTGGGCTCCCTCCTAGTAAAACTTGTCAGGTGACAATCTTCTGATGCAGGTGATAACAAGTAGGGAGTAAATTATGCTACTTGTTACCCAGCTAGATCAGAAAGGGATGTCTATCTACAGAATTGACTTGATATTTTATCAAATGTTAATGTTGGAATCTTTTACAAGACCTCAGATTATTTGGCATCAGTTATTTGAGATACCAAGATGTAAATTCTTACTCCTGGTGGGCTGAATGCCCTTGACTTCAAAGGTTACTGGCAATACTCATTATTTTTCAGGACCAAGCTCTTATTTAATCTCAGCTGGCCTGTGTGTATTTGTTTAAAATACATTTAAAACAAACTGATACAAAAGGCACTTGGATTTTTTTTTTTATACAATTATGTAAAAGCAGGTTGTTTCTGTTTCATATGTATTTACTGATTTTGATCAATGGTCCTAGGGCTTACTTTTTATTAAAATGAAATATTTTTATGGAACTGTGTTTTGTTTTCCTTGTACATGAACACAGCTTTGCTTGTTACTGAAGTACTGTTAAAAGCACTTTTTTTTTAATCTCAGGAACTGCCAAAGTGGCTTGCAGTGCAGGAAATAAAAAATACTTATTAATCAATCTGTATGAGAAACATCAGAGTCTTAATTCAGTAAGTGTTTATTGAGGTGTAACTTGGCAGCTGTTTGGAATTCCTGGTAGTTTAGTGTTTTCTGTAGGTATGCCTGCTGACCTATGGAAAATATTTCTCCCCAATATAAAAAGTAAGAATCACATTGCTCAAGCCTGAGGGTAAACACCCTTATGAACTTGTTTTTCTTACTGTGATATTACTACAAGGTGTTAGAATGTTCCTTTTTCAATCTTAGTTCATACTGTGTGAGTAAAATATTAAATGCATTCTGTATCTTCAAAGAACAGGACAGATCTGACAGAAGTGAGGTAGGAAATAGTGAAGAGTAGTTGGACAAATAAGTCCAGTTGTACAACAGAAGGATTCACTGACTCTATTATCTGCATGTGCATCTCTATAAGTACTAAAAATCTATTGCTCCAAGCACACCAAAGCCCCACATCCAGAATAGGAGAGTAAGAATAGTTTAAATTGGCATAAGGAGATACTGTGCATGCTAGACATTTGAGAAAAGGAGGTATAAATTATGCAGGAAGGTAAAAACAGCTTTTTGCAATGCTAAAGGATGTTGAATCAAATCAATTACTTTAAAAACAAGTAACATACAACTTAGATGAATTCTAAATGAGATGAGACTAAAACTCTTGGTGCCGTAAATTTTAGGCTTCTTGGAGTGACTAGTGAAGGAACCTACAGGATAGAAACCAACTCTGGACTTGGTTCTTGATCACCATTGTGTATTACCCACTTCAAACTGTTTTTATGGAAGAGCCGTTCTGAAATAGTGATCTTAATATACTTGCAGTTGATGCTTTTGTGCCAAAATAAAGTTCTGTTTGCATTACAGAGTGCTGTGGACAGTGGCTCTTAAAAGAAACTAGGCTGCTAAGGAATAAGTTGTTCTTATGGATTGATTAATGTTTAAATGGTGGGAAACAAAGGGTAGGATGAAACGGTCTGTCTTAAAAATGGAGATCATTATTTGATTTCCATGGAAATTTGTAGTGTTAAACATACCCTAAATTATTGGTTTAAAAAAAACCCCAAAAGCAGTGCAAGTGAGATACTGAAATTGGATGATAATACTGTGGTTTTGGGTTGTAAAAATGAAAGCCTGTTGTGATGATTCATAGAATCACAGAATCATAGAATGGTTTGGCCTGGAAGGGACCTTAAAGTTCATCCAGTCCCAACCCCCCTGCCATGGGCAGGGACACCTTCCACTAGACCAGGTTGCTCAAAGCCCTGTCCAGTCTGGCCTTGAACACTGCCAGGGATGGGGCGGCCAGTTTCTCAGGGCAGTCTGTACCAGTGCCTCACCACCCTCGCAGTAAAGAATTTCTTCCTAAATATCTAAATCTACCCTCTTTGAGTTTAAGGTGATTAGCATATGAACGATTGGATGGTAAAATGGCAGGTGAATTGCAGCTTTTCTCTGGCTAGAGAACTCCTGAGCCAAAGATTACTGAAGGCTGAGATTTAGGAGGTGAAATACCTTTATGTGCTTGTCCTGCCTGTTCTGCTCTTTTCCAGGTATCCACTATGGGCTGATTTAGGTGACAGGGGTACTGACTAGGCAGATCTTTGATCTAGCTCAGTGTGTGGCTGGTTTGGGCTCTTAAATTTGGTTCAGAATGACAAACCAAACAGGTAATAAGCCTGCTAGATTCCTTTCCAGTTTGTAAAGGCAAAAATCTACATTAACTCACTGGGAGACTGGACAAGTAGTTGAAGGAGGGATACACTGGGGATAATAAAATGGGCAAATCATACCAGGCTGAGCACATCAACTGAGCTGACAACAGCTGGGAGTATACCACATGTACTTGCATTCTTCACCAGGTGACCACTACTGTGGACAGCATATGAGCTAGCTAGACCCAAAAGATTCTGATTAGTAGTTTCATTTTTCATTCCAGCTATTTAACTCAACTGTCTTTTGTACAGAAGCAGAGGAATATAGCACAGTAGATATATCACAGCAGATGACAGTTGGAAATCCCTCTGAAGACCCCATTGTCAGTTAATGTACATTTGGTATGCATACAGTTACTGCTTTTACTTGTGAAGGCATCAGTTCCTGAAAAAGGCTGTTACTGAGGTCTTTAGGAATTCTATGTAGGAAGACTGTGAAAAGTGCTGTTGCGAATGACTTTTAAGCTTTTAAAGCTATTGGAAAGGTAATTTTGAGGAGTTGTGTTGGCTTGGTCTGATGCAAACCCAGCAGTCACACCATCTTACATCTGTTTTCAAGAGGAAGTGAGGGTAATGAATGGGAAGAAGGACCTGAATTTACAGCAAAGCACATTTACCATTTCCCCTGCTTGAGGAATACTGTTCAGAAATGACAAACAAAAAAATGGGAAGAAGGA